GCCTTTCTCAGTAAAGTAAGATCTGTTTCTTAGCAGTTTGGCAGTAGGCAGAGAATTCCCCACACTGGGAGAGGCAGGTGGACTTCACAGCTTCAACTCTTGAACCAAAGACTCTTTTCTCCTCTGATAGAAAAACTTGAAAATCTGATTAAAAAAAAATTTGTTTTCTTGATTTATTGAAGAAACCAAATAAGGCTTTAAAATGCAGCCAGTCTCAGTTTTGAAACAGTGCTGTATGTTGCATGCACCTACAGCGAAGCTTAAAGACGACATCTTATCACATTGGTGATGGTGTGGGTGAGAGGAATTGCTTTCTGTCAACAATGTAAATATATTTGGCCTAGAAAATCCATTGCTAGGAATTTTCCTTGTAGATATAATCAGCGTATGGTTAGTGTTTGTAGAAGGATTGGAAAATTGGAAGTAGATGGAACACACACCCTAAAAGTCTATCAGTAGGTACTGATTAAATAAATTAGTAATAAATTATATTACATCCATGCAAAATAATATGCTGTTATTTAAAATAATGAGGCAGCTCTCTATCTACAGATGGCCTGGTTTCTAAGATATTTTATTTAAAATCAAAACCAAAAAAAACAGGCAAGCTTTGGGGAGGGAGATACAGGCAGGACTTCGCTTTATGGCAGTCTCTAAATTTCTCAAACTCTGAGTACTGACAACACAGATATTTCTGTATTATTTATATGTTTTATGTTTTAAATGTTGCATAATCAAATAGGCAAGCTGTGGGGTACTATGTTGTTTGTGTAAAAACGTAAGAATGTGTATTCTGTCTTTATATAATACGTTGTTAAGTACCATCGAGTCGCTTCTGACTCATAGTGACCACCCTGTATGAGGTTTCCGAGGAGCAGTTGGTGAGTTTGAACTCCTGACCTTGTGATTCACATGATCTTGCAGTCCAGTGCATTATCCTACAGTGCCACACCAGGACTCCCTGTCTTTATATGTTGTTGTTAAGTGACATCAAGTTGATTCCAGCTAATAACAACCTTGTCTGTATAGGTTTCCGAGGAGCACCTGGTAAGCTTGAACCACCGACCTTGGCAGTTCAAACCAACTTTGCAGTCCAGTGCATTAACCTGCAGCACCACACCAGGACTCTTTCCATAGACATAGCTATAGAAGGAAGTTCAGGATTAAGTGGTAATGTTCACCTCAGGTATAGAGTCCAGGTAACTCAGCATTATGATCGAGGGAGATGTATACCGTATATTTTCTGTGTGTATTTTGAATTTTGTGCTGTCTACTAGTCCTGGTGTGGCGCTGTGGGCTAATGCGTCAGACTGCAAAGTAATTTGAACTGCAAGGTCGGTGGGTTAAGCTCACCAGCTGCTCCTTGGAAACCTTATACAGGGTCACTATGGGTTGGAATCGACTCGATGGCGCTTAACAACAACTATATTAGCTAAAGAGCTCTGGTAGCGTAGTGGTTACGAATCGGGCTGCTAACCTAAGGGTCAGCAGTTGGAAACTACCAGCTGTTCCTCAGGAGAAATATAAGACTTTCTGTTCCTATAAAGATTTACAGCCTTGGAAACCCTGTACAGGGTCGCTTTGAGTTGGAACTGACTCCACGGCACATAACAACAACAACTATACTAGCTGGAGTCCTGGTGTGGCGCTGTAGGATCAGCACTGGACTGCGAACCACAAGGTCGGCAGGTCACACCCATCAGCTGCTCCTCGGAAACTCTGTAAAGGGTTGCCATGAGTCAGAACTGGCTTGATAGCACTTAACAACTCTACTAGCTATTAAGGCAAGATTGTCTACATCAAAACCTAGGACCTAGAATGCCCGTAGGTACCCTATCACAGTACTGAGTGAATGAAAATACTGTCGAGACAGAAGTGGGGTGACTGCATCAAGGTGTAAACTGAAGAAATGAGGAGAGAGGACACACTCGCTATTTCATGTCTGTTAATATCTGAAGGAAAGCTTACTGGAAAAATATGGTGTGTGTTGTGGGCAGAAATGTTTCTCAAATGCGGAACTAGTGGTGGTAACATACTGGGAGCATTGTGACCCAGATTTGGGGAAGTACTTACCTGTACATCACACTGAAGAATAACAATGGTTAAGAGCTCAGGCTGTGGAGGATCTTGGCATTACCATGTAATACCTGTGCAACTTCGGGTGAGTTACTTTCTCTCTGCCTCAGTGTCTCTACTTATAAGATGCAATAACATCTAAAGGATGTATTCTTTATTATCAAATACTTAATGTGCACCTGTTACATACCAGGAGTTTTGGTGTGGCACTGTGGCATAAAGCAAGGTCCATTAGAACCATAAGGTTGGCAGTTCAAATTTACCAACTGCTCCTTCGAAACCCTATAAAGGGTTGTCATGAGTCGGAACTGACTCGACAGCACTTAACAACAATTATATACCAGGTACAGTTGTTGATAAAACCCTTGTCTTACGGACCGTACACTCTAGTAGGGAAAATAGATAATGAGTTAAATAAATATTATTTTTACATGATTGTGATTAGTGCCAAGGAGAAAAATAAAACAGATGTAAACTAGAAAAGTGTAGCTGTGTGGGTGGGGAAGTGTGGGGGTTGATCAGTGAAGGTTGTGGATGTCTATGTGTTAGGTAATCCGGGAAGGCCTCACTGAAAAGGTGGTGTTTGAGTCAAACCTGAAGGAATGAGGGAGTTACGCTGTCATATGGAGGAAGAGCATTCCAGACAGGAAACAGCAAGTGCAAAGTCTGTGACTGTGAAGTGGGAACATGCCTGGCACATTTCAGGAGCAGCCAGGAGGACACTGGGGTGGGGGTGGGGAGGGCGTGATTCAGAGGAAACGAGGGTCAGGAAAGGTCATGTTGGTGTGTTGGTGTGGGCAGATCATAAGGGACTTTGTAAACTATTACAAAGATACTAGCTTTTCTCTGACATCTGTGAAGAGTCATTGGTAGCTGTTAGGGAACTAATATGCTTTGGTGGCACAATGGTGAGTTCTTCTGCTAACCAGAAGATTGGTGGATAGAAACTGTCAGCCGCTCCACAGGATTTACAGCCTTGGAAATTCTATGGGGCAGCTCCACTCTGCACTATAGGGTTGCTTATGACTTGGAATTGCCGGTAATGGGTCAATTATTTGGCATTAGGACTCATTTGGGATTAGAGCCCAGTCTCCTGCCTGGTAATCCACAGTAGTGGCACATTGCTGGTCCAACACTGAAGTCTTCAGTCAATTAGTAAAAGCACCCTCTAACTGCCTTCATATGTGAAGGCCCAACATGGTGCCAACTCATCCACTCACCCAGATGTTAGTAATGAGTTTTTTGGGTGTGGAAAGTAACATTAAACAAAACACATCTTTTATATTTATAGTGAAAACAGTGACTGTTTTTGAAGCAATAAACTTCAAAGAAAGTTTTGATGGAGACAAGTATGGAGAAGAAAAGTAATTCAATGCTAAAGTATAAAATTCTCTCCATTAAATATGCTGTAGCAAGGGCAGAAGCAGGATGGAAGTATCTGAATTTAGTTAATCTTTGTTGTTGTTTTTTTTTAATGTTTTTTTTCTCCAGATGATTTTGTCAAGGTTTTATGATTTTTTTGTGTAACAATTATAAGTGCTGTATTGACTAAGTGGGGACCTAGAGCTATGTATCTTTATGTAGTATAGTTTATCAGAATGCGAAAAACCTGATAGAATGCAGCTTTCTGGATTCTGGGGTAGTGGGCAGAGAAGCTTAAGCCAGAAGGAGAGTTGTGTGACTGTTGACAGGCACTGTGACTGTTGTGTGTTGTTGTTAACTGCCAGCAAGTCAGCTCTTACTCATAGCGACTCTATATTGGGTTTCCAAGGCTTTTCAGCTTCATGGGAGGAGAAAGGCTCATCTTTCTCCTACAGGCAACTGATGGTCTCAAGCTGCCAACCTGTGATTAGCAGTCCAGTGTGTATCCTACAGAGCCACTGCCCTCCCCTGACAGTTGTATAGATGTTCTTATGTCATTGTGATCATACTGCAGATACTACTCATTCTGCTGTTTTTTAAATTCATATACCCACACATTTCACAATGTGTATTATAGATTCACTGTTTATTTTTTAAAGACTATATATCAAGTTTAAATTCCATAGCTTTGCATTCTGCCTCTCTTTTTATTAGAATTATTTTCACAGGATCAATTCTCACAGTGGGATTACTCTCTCAAATAACTTGATTTGATTTGCAGAGTCCATCTTTACTTAATTGAGTGAACCAAGGGTTTAGGAATTCACATTGCCATTGACAGCTTGTTGGCGGTTTCACTTAGTTTTTGTGAGCATTAGGATTTATGTAACAAAATATTTCTTTTGTAACTTAATAGATAGGAAAACTTGACTTCTTGAGTAGCCATGTTTTCAAGATAAAATTTCTAGGAGAAAGATTGTTTTCAATTTAAATCTTCTGCTGGCTTGACTGTTTTTGTTTAAGATCATGTAGGTTTTAGTATAACAGCTAGTCATTTCTACTTAGACGAGGGTGATGAAGGTTTATGTCTTAAAGTGTTTATTTAATTTGATTAAAATGTTTTAGGTTTAAAAATACTAATTTTGACATAGATACACATGGTATAAAACTTCGATTTTCCCAAAAGCCCTGCCTTTCATTTCTCAGTCCTTGCCCTCAGAAGCAGCACGTTATTGTGTTCATGTGTCTCCCTCCAAACCAGTGATACGTATCATGCCCCAGCAACATACAGGGATGACAGGGAGGCTAAACTGGTTTGATGATATTCTAAGATTCCCCCAGGATTCTACAGGTGCTGCTTGTGGGGAAAGGAAGGGACTCAAGCTTTGTAGGACACCAGATTCCCCTTCTTCTTGAGGCCGAGGGAGCCATACTGTTCTGGCTTTACATTTGTGCTTCCCAACTGAGGTTTGTGTTTGGAGAAAGGTAAAGCGAATAAACAGTGAAAAGCACCAGTACAGACAGGTAAATATTGTGTTCTCTCTCTCTTTTTTTATTTGCAGATGTTTCTGACAGTGTACCTCAGTAACAATGAGCAGCACTTCACAGAAGTTCCAGTTACTCCAGAGACAGTGTGCCGGGACGTGGTGGATCTGTGCAAAGAACCTGGGGAGAGTGATTGCCACTTGGCTGAAGTGTGGTGTGGCTCTGGTATGAGACCTGCACAAGCGTGTGTTTTAATTAGCTATGTCGTCTATTGTTATTTCTGGTTTATAGATTTGGTACTGTCTGTGAATGCTCATGCTTATTCACAAAGAAACTGTAGAATAACATATCCACCTGGAGAGAGTGTTGTCACTGCAACTTTGTTGTGATCCATAAAGTCTCTGATGTTTCGTTTGTCTGCAATGAAATGAAGACAACACAATATAAAAGGCCATAGGATGGGTGACTGATGTCCCAGGTGGGAACTTCTGGGATGTTACAGCGCATGTGGTCAAATGTATGATGCTCCAACAGTTTTGTTATTAGTTGTCAGCTAGTCATTTCCAACTTGTGACAGTTCCATCTGTATACAGTAGAATTGCTCCATAGGATGGTATGTTTGTTGTTGTTGTTGTTAGGTTGCGTGGAGTTGGTTTCGACTCATAGCGACTCTATAGGGTTTCTGAGGAGCAGATGGTGGGCTTGAATCACCAACCTTGTGGTTAGCAGTGCAGTGCTTACCTTATAGTGCCTATTGTATGTTTAGGCTTTATTTAAGTAAAAATTTGAGGCATACTGCTGGTTTATTCCTCTTTAAATTTTTGTTTGTATGTTTGTTTTTTCCTAAAAGATTGATAAACTCTAGTAACAGAAGACAGAGCTGCACTTAGAGACATTCTAAGCCTTGAAATTAAGCCCTTAGTATAGTTCTTTTGGAGCTCTAAAATGAGATAGCCTGCTTTCTTTTTGAACCCATAAGAGTTTATAGATAGGGTGTAATTTTCCGTCATTTCTGCCTTGTTCTTACACAGTAGATGAACCCCTCACTGTTTTCCTTTTTCTTCTCTGGGGAGCAGATTACCCATTGTGATCATTAGACTCAACATCATTCATGAGATCTAACTTCCACTGAGCTCTCACTTTTTACCAGGGAAATCCTTTTACTCATTTTTTTTGGTGACTTTCTTACTGTTGGATGTTTTGAAAGGTGTTCTACACTATTTTACTGAATTATTATCTTCTTTTACCCTCCCCATAGGAACCATAGTAGACCATTCACATAAAGAACCCCAGTTTTCTTTCAAAAACGAAAATGGGATAATTTTACTTTGCTACTTTTTAACGATATTCTCTTTTACTTAGAATAAAATCCACATTCTATATCTTAGGTTGAGAAGTCTTAAGAAATTCGTTGTCTGTAATGTTATTTTCTTTCTTGCCTCCATCCAGCATCTATTTTCTTATTTCTTGAGTATGCTGAATTCTTTCCCTCCTTAGAACCGTTGGTACCGACTGCTCCTACTACTGCCTGTAATGCGCTCCGTCCACATTCTTTCTTTGCTGGTTCCTTTTGGTCACTTGGATTTCAGCTAAAATGTTACCTACATGGAGAGACTTTCCCTGAACACCCTTTCAAAATACCTCTGAAGTTTCCTAGGCAACTATCCTCATTTAATTCTCTACATAACTTAACGCTGTTGTTGTTAGGTGCCATCGAGACGATCCCGATTTACAGCGACTCTGTTCACAGCGGAATGAAACACTGCCTGGTCCTGCGCCATCCTCACAGTTGTTAGGTTTGAGCCCACTGTTTTTGCCATTGTGTCAATCCATCTCACTGGGAGTCTTCCTCTTTTTTTTGTTGACCTTCCACTTTACCAAGGGATTGATTCCTCCTGAAAACATATCCAAAGAACTAGAGAAAAAGTCTCATCATCCTCAATCCCTAAGGAGCATGTGGCTGTACTTCTTCTAAGACAGATTTGTTTGTTCTTCTGGCAGCCCAGGATACTTTGACTATACTTTGAATATTCCTCACCAACACCATAATTCAAATGCATCAATGCTTCTATAGTTTTCCTTATTCATTGTTAAAGTTTCCCATGCATATGATGTGTTTGAAAATACCATCACTTGGGTCAGGTGTACCTTGATCCTCAAATGGATATCTTTGCTCTCGAACACTTTAAAGTGGGCTTATGCAGCAGCTTTGCCTAACACAACAGGTTGTCTGATTTCTTGACTGCTGCTTCTATGAGTGTTGATTGAGTTTCTAAGCAAAATGATGTCTTTGATTTCTGTCTTTCTCAGTTCATCATGATGTGACTTCTTGATCCAGTTGTGAAGGTTTTTATTTTCTGTACATTCAGGTGCAATCCACACTGAAGACTGTAATCTTTGATCTTCAACAGTTATGTACTTTAAGTCTTCCTCTTCACTTCCATCAAGCAAGTTTATGTCATCTGCATATCACAGGTTGTTAATGAGTCTTCTTCTAATCCGGATGCCACTTTCTTCTTTGTATAATCCAGTTTCTTTGATTATTTGTTCCGCATGAAGATTGAATAAGTATGTTGAAAGGATACAACCTTCACACTCACCTTTTCTGTTTTTAAACCATTTAGGGTCCCCTTGTTCTGTTGTAACGACTCCCACTTGGTCTGTGTACAGGCTCCTCTTAAGTACAGTGGAATGTTTTAGGCTCTTTCTGCTGTTCTTGCTTTCAACCAAGATCCAGCTGACATCAGCAATGATATATCTCATTCTACATCCTCTTCTGAATCAGGCTTGAATTTTTGGCAGCTCTCTATTGATATACTGCTGCAAGTGGTTTTTAATTATCTTCAGTAAAATTTTACTTGTGTGTGGTATTAGTGATTCTGTTTGATGTTTTCACATTCTGTTGAATCACCTTTCTTTGGAATGGGCACAAATAATGGATCTCTTCTAATCGGTAGATTAAGTAGCTATCTTCCAAACTTCTTGACATAGATGAGCAAGCACCTCCAGTACTGTATCAATTTGTTGAACCATTTCAATTTGTATTCCATCAATTCCTGGAGCCTTGTTTTTAGCCAGTACCTTCACTGCAACTTGAACTTCTTCCTTCCGTACCATTGGTTCTTGATCATATGCTACCTCTTAAAATGGTTGACTACTGGCCATTTTTCTGTATACAGTTATGGTGTATACTTTCCATCTTCCGTGCATCATTCAGTATTTTGCTCATAGTTGCATTCTGAAACTTAAATTTTATTTTTCAGTTCTTTCAGCTTGAGAAATTCTGAGCATGTTCTTTTCTTGTGGTTTTCTAACTCTAGGTCTTTGCACATTTTATAATAGTACTTCGCTTTGTCGTCTTGTGCTGTCTTTTGAAATTTTTTGTTTAGGTATGTATTCTCATTTCTTGAGGTTGCTTTATTTAATTCCTTTTTGCTCAAGAGCAAGTTTCAGAGTCTCTTCTGACATTCATTTTGATCTTTTCATTATTTCCTTTTTTAAATGACCTTTTGCTTTCTTCGTGTATCATGTTGTATCATGTTCTTGATGTCATCCTGCAACTCTTCTGGTTTTTGGTCATTTGTGTCTAATGCATCAAATCTGTTGTTGAGATGGTTTCTAAATTCAGGCTAGATATATTCGAAGTTATATTTTGGCTATTATGGTGTTGCTTAATTTTCTTCAGCTTCAGCCTGAACTTTCATATGAGCAATTAATGGTCTATTCTACAGTCCTCTGGCTTGTTTTTGGCTGATAATACTGAGCTTCTCCATTGTCTCTTCTACCATGAAGTCTATTTGATTCCTGTTACATTCTATCTGGCAAGTTGCCTTTCATGTTGTTGAAAAAAGGTATGAGCTTTGAATAAGTCATTGGTCTTGTAGAAAACTGTGATTTATCTGTTTCCAACTTTCCTATCCCAAATACCAGTAATTATCAATGCATTTTGATTGCATGTTTGATTAATATCAAGCTGAAGAAGCTGGTAAAATTCTTCAATATCATCCTTACTAACTTTAGTGGTGGGTGTGTAAATTTGAATAGTAGTGGCATTATTTGGTCTTCCTTGTAGGCATATGGATATCATGCTGTCATAGACAGCATTGTACTTCAAGGTAGCACAGTGAAATACTGCACTTCAATGGGATATGTGAGTGATACATACATATATATGTATGTGTCTTAGTGATCTATAATGTTACTTCTTATTAATATAACTATAATATTACTAATTGATTGCCAAGGGGTGATATGTGCTATTTCAGCAGAATGAGGTGAACTGGATTATCAAATTTTTAGTGGCACTAAGACTTTTACTGTATACATATTTTCATAAAACAATAATATTCCATGTATTTTACAACAAGGAAAATAACTCAAGAACTCATTTATTTCAACAGTCAGTGTAAAGTTCTGTTGATCTGCCACAACAAAAAAATGGACTTTGACCACTTTTGCTTTAAGCAGCTCCTACTTCAATTTTAATGCCTGTTTCAGAATAAATGCTGTAGTTACAAATGAACAAATGAAAGATGTCCTTTAAAATAAAATTTTATCATCAGTAAACAGATATTGCAACTATTTTATATTTAGTTAGTTAGACTCAACAGCCCACCTCTACCTCTTGTTTATTAGAAAGAAATAGCATACTCTTCAAGAGATATCCTGAGAGAAGGAGTTTCAGTTACTTGGGAGGGGATCTAGGAGCAGGACCCAGGAGGCAGATGTTAACCAAAGTGTTAAATGGTAGAGATCTCATAGCTTAACCTTGTGTGTGGAACGCTCTAACCCTGTCTGGCGCATTCTCATGCACTGGAGCTGTCTCTTCACTTCCCTCACTTCCCTTGCACTTGCAACACTCAACTTTTCCTTGTGCCCTGTGCAGTTCCCATCTATGGCTCTTTGCTATGGACAGCTGGTGCCTTAGTTGATGCCCTAAGCATGTGCTTACTTTGTTTACTGAGTGTCCATCACTGTGCTGCAACTTGCTATTTTACCATACAACATGATCGCTTAGAGCTCTTTTCAGATGAGTATGTGTGTGTCTGTCTACATCACTGGTTTTAATGTTGTTAGGTGCCGTTGAGTCAGTTCTTATTCATGGCAACCCCATGTGACAGTAGAACTGCCCTCTTGAATTTTCTAGGCTGTAATCTTTATGAGGAGTTCTCATGTGTTGCTGTGGGGTAATGCACTGTACCACAAGATCAGTTTGAACTGCAAGGTTGGTGGGTCAGATTCACCAGCTGCTCATTGGACTCCTATTCGGGGTTGCTGTGAGTCACAACCAACTTGAAGGCACTTGGTGACAACAGTCTTTATGAGAGCAAATCACCAGGTGCTTTTCTCCCATGGAAATGCTATGTGTGTTCGAATAGACAACGTTTTGGTTAGTCGTTGAGTTGTGTCACCAAGTGTCCTTTCGTTGATTTTAGTTATCACGTAATTTTCTGTAGTATGTATGGAGTCCTGGTGTGGTGCTGTAGACTAAGTATTAAACTGTTACACGTAAGGTTGGCAGTTTAACCCACCATCTGTAAATCTTTACGGGAGCAGAAAGCCTCATCTTTCTCCCGCAGAACAGCTAGCTGGTAGTTTCAAACTGCTGACCCTGAGGTAGCAGCCCAATTTGTAACCACTACGCTACCAGAGCTCCTTGGAATCATAAATTTATAGAGAACTGCTAGATATTAATAAGTATGACACAAAAGCCAACAGAAAAATAGACACAAGACAATTCAATATATATGATAACAGAATGATGGATAAAATCATTCTGAATTTCATTATTCAACAGTAAAATGTAAATTAATTGTATATCATGATACACCCTTGAAGCCTTGGTGGTGCAGTGAGTTAAGCATTGGGTTGTTAACTTAATGGTAGTTTGAATCCACCAACTGCTCTTTGCGGGACAGATGAGAAGCAGTCTTCTGTAAAGATTTACAGTCTTGGAAACTGTATGGAGCAGTTCAACTGCGTCTGTAGGTGTGCTATGAATTGGAATAGACTGGATGGCAGTGGTTTGGGGCTGTTTTTTATACACTCATCGAAACCCCCAAACTGAAATCACTGCCATCAACCTGATTCCTACTTACAGCTATGCTGCATAGGGTTTTTGAAGTTTAAATCTTTACAGTAGAAGACAGTCTTATTTTTCTTCCTTGGAATGGCTGGTGAATTTGAACAGCCAACCTTTTGGTTAAAATGTTGTAGCAGAAATCCTTTTCAGAGTTTCTTTTGATCATGAACAATTGCTTATCTATGGTGGATACCAAAAAGTGGAATTGCTTAGTTTGGGTTTGCACATTTTAAAATGTAACATGTATTGCAAGGTTTCCCTCTGCAAAGGCTATCTTAGTTCTTCTATTGATTATTTTTAAAAGAATCCTTCATCAACAATTGATATAATAATATTTCAGTTGCTAAAACTGATCATTGAAAATTTCCTTTGTTTAAATTAGCATGTATAATTACAAATGAGGGGAGCCTGTGGTTCTGTAGCATAATCTCTGGACTTTGAACCACCAGGTTGCAAATGAGGATACCCATTTTAAAAATATTCCTTCATTGATCATTTGGGTTTCTCTTTGTTTTTTCAAATTGTGTATAGCCTTTGCTGATTTTTCCTCTACCTCCCCCCGTTGTTTTGTAAACATTGAAAAACAAAACAAAAAACACAACTCCATTCTAATTCGTGTCTTATTTGTGTCTTGTTTAAGAAATCCTTCTAAGTTAAAAAGTTTTCCTTCTCTTCCTTTCTTTCTCCTCCTTTTCTTCTCTGTGCTATGCTTAGGTCTTTAATCCATTTGAATTTTATTTTATAATTAGTGAGAATTAGGGACTGATAGATTTTTTTCCCAACTGGACAGTGGGTTTTCTTCAGTACTTTATTGAACGGTCTGTTTGCTTTGTAGTTTTGATATGAGTTTTTCATGACTTATGAAACCAGCATGATAATTAATTTAATAAACACATCTATTACCTTCAAAGCTTACTGTGTCCCTTTTAATCGACCTTTGAGAGCTAGTATCTTTGTTTCGTTCCCACCTCAGTTCTTAATGTTTCACTTACTGACTTACTATTTGTCTTATATTTCTAGCTATATGTGTCTGCTGTTCTCTCTACTGCTCTTGCAGTAGGTGACCTCATGGGTTCATTTCCACACTGTTGCTTTCTTGAGGCCTTTTCTGACTTTGTTAAATTGACAACACTTGATTCTGCCACTTCTTGTTCCCCTTTCTCTGCTTTGTATTTCTCATAACATTTATTGCCTTTGTAGTCCCCCCCATTTTGGGGAGCCAATGTCCAGGTTGCCCATCCCTGTCCACTCTGTGTATGGAAGGGAAGAAAGGGACTTTTAATCTGTTTGTTTAGTGCTGTATGTCCATTTATATTTGTGGGAGAATTTCTTCGTTTAAGTTTTGCCTTCCACTTTCCTTTTCTGTTCTCTCCCTCTGGAGCCGTTATTTGATATATGTTGGTCCTTGGTTTGCATATATAATTTTTTTTTTTAAGTCTCTTTTTCGCTCTGTGTATCATTCTAGTTGGTTCTACTGATCGTCCACTTTACTAGTTTTCTCTTCAGCTGCATATAATTTGCTGTATATTTTGCCCTTATCATTTTTGCAATTTAATGACTTTTTCATATTTAGCAGTTTTCAGAGACTCATTCAAATTTATGTTAATTTTTTTGTTGTTATACAGTACTCTGCCAGTTCATTTTAGTTTTTATTCTTCTATTTTTGAAGTTATTTCTTTTCTTCTTCATGGATTAGTACAGTTCTTTGAGAATAGTTTTTATTCCTCTGTTTTTGAAATCATTTCTTTTCCTCTTCGTGGATTAGTGCAGTTCTTTGAGAACCTTTGAGCTGTCAGTTTTAACTTTTGCAAGCTCAAGCCTGATCTTGTGTCATTACAAGGCCATTAATATCTCTCTTAGTTACTTAGTACTGCTGTAGCAAAAACTACCAAAAACAGGTCTAAAGAACAGGATTTTAAAACTCAGAACACGGGCTCTAGGGGAGGGTCTGTTTTTTTGTTGTTGTTGGTTGCTCCAGGAATTCCTTGGTGTTTTGGGTATCTGCCTTCTCCCTGTGTGTGTCTTTATATATTTTTCTTACAAGACACCTCTTATAAGTGATTAGATTTAGGCCTCACCTTGCTCTGGTTGGGTAAGTGATGAACTGCTAACCACAAGGTCGATGGTTTAAACCTACCAGCCACTCCTCAGAATCCCTGTAAAAAGGCCCTTTTGAGTTGGAACCGACTTGATGGCACTTAAAAACATCAACTCGTCTGGTATGACTTTATTTCCGAACATGGACAAGGACTAGGACTTCAACACAGATTTTGGGGAGACACAGTTCAGTCTGTAACAGGACCCTAATCCCAAGAGCTTATAAACAGGTTCAACTCTCCAGGACAGTCCAGCGTGACCTGGAGGTTACGTCTTTCCTTTGGATTCTCTGGAACCTGGGGATTTCTCATTCTTTCCCTTGAGTAAAGCTGTGTATGTTTTCTTTTGGGAAGTGAGTCTACTTAGAATTTCCGTTAGGGAGTGCCTACTCAGTGATGAGAATTTCCCTTTTGGGAGTTTTTATTAGAATTTCTATGGTTTATAAAAGGGGGTTTTATCTCAATCAACTCAGTACAATTTATTACAGGAAATAGAACCAGAACTGAATTTTCTTTGTTGCAACCAAGCAGATTAATTTCACAGTTACTTCACAAAATTGGCTGCTGAATGCCTGGCTTCTCTAGTCTTTGCAGGTCTGTCTTTGAGTCTTGATGTATTGAGCTTTTCAAAGGCTTTTCCCACATTCTTAGATTTAAAATTCTACTAACATTACAGGAGTTTCTTTGATTTTATAAATTACACCATCAAGCAATATATTTTGCTTTTTAAATCCTGGTCCCTTGGGATTAGAAGAGGGGGGCTTGAGACATACTGTTACTTGTGAACTCCCACTTACGATAGTATTTACCGGTGCCCTTCGTTTTGTCTATACAGAAATTCTGACAACTGGCACTCCACTGAAAGAGAGGCCAAAGACTTAGATTTTTCACTATAATAAATAGCCTTTTTGTTTGGAAAAAGATTGTTGATTTTTTAAATATAGTTTTTTTTTTTAATTTTATAATTTAAAAAATCACACCCCCAGTGACATTATGACTAAGTACTAGGCTGCTACGTGAAAGATTGGTGGTTCAGATCCACCATCTGCTCTGTAAAGGTCACATTCCAGGAAACCTACAGGTCAGTCTGCTCTGTTCTTTAGGGTCACTGTGAGTCAGAGTCCACTCACCAACACATAACAGTAGGAAGTATGGGTAGGTTAAATAGAAAGTTGGTTTTAAATCTTTTTCTTTGTGTATTTAGAGAGCCTGTGGGTTAGAATGGACTTAAAGAGACTGATATAATTCTCTTCGATTACAGAAAACTCAAAAGAAGTTAATGGTATGCTTATGACTATTTAAAGGAACCCCAGTGAGTTATGCTCTTGAGCTCTTGACTGTTCTGATCCATTGCTCTTTCCAGTATGACCCTGATTTTGTGCATGGACATTTTACGATGCTTCATTTTCTAAGAGTTCTTTTAATGGGAAAAAAGGTTCTGAGATGGTTAAGTATTTCTTATATTCATAGTGAATATTTTGTATGAGATATAAATGATAAATTATGTTTGCCTTTCCATTATCTTCAAATAATGTGATGTCAATTCATTTCTTTCAGAACGTCCAATTGCTGATAATGAGCGGATGTTTGATGTTCTGCAACGATTTGGAAGTCAGAGGAATGAAGTTCGTTTCTTCCTTCGCCATGAACGCCCCCCTAGCAGGGACACTGGTATTAGTATTTTATGAATCATAGCAAATATTTGAGCTTTAGTTTTGTGCAGTGGGGTAGTTTGGAGAGAGGTGGCATGTCATCAAGATGCAGGCAGTTTGGAGGGGGAGTGAAAGGTAAGGAGTAGAAACTCAGAAGAAGGGGGTAGTAGGTTGGTTTGCTTTTGTTTGAAGATGGAAGAAGTTTAATACTTTTTGTTTTCTTTTTCCTAATGTGGATGGGAGGAGTTAGTTAGAAGACAGTAAACGTAAGATATAAGGAAGAGAGGGAATGATATATAGGACAGTGCCCCTGAAAAAGTACTCTCACTAAGCTGATAGAAACTTCTAGACAAGAGGAAGGACCCACCTTCCATTGTAACAGGAAAACCAGAAAAGACAGGTAAATTTGTGCATTTTGTGGGAGCCAGGCTTCTCATCTGAAACAATTTGTTTGCTCAGAGGCAGGAGACAAAATCATATGAAAGTGATGGTTGGGGCTGTTTTGAGCTGTTGTGTAGAACAGGAGTGATTGCTTACGTGGGAAATCGGCTTGCTAGCAACTGTGAAGGCCAGTTGAGATTAGACATGAGACCGTGTATGAGTTTTCTGAGTCCAGGTGGGGTTGTAAGTAGAGAAGCAGACAGTTAGATTGATCTAAGGGTGGGGTTCTGCCAGACAAGTTCAATGGAAGGCCATTGGGACAGGGAAGAGAAGGATACTGGCGAGGAAGAGATTGAAGTAATGGACCACGGCATCTTAGCTGCATGGGGAATATTTAAAGATAGTAGGGGGCTGTAGGAAAAGTAGACAGGGTTAAGAGACTGGAGGTGTCTTAGATAGTGAACTGGTGTAATGAGAGGAAATGACTAGGATAGGTAGCCTGAGAGGAAATTGTGGTTAAAATGTAGAATGTTTGAATCTAATATTTCAGACGTCTAGCACTTTGGATGATAGGATCCTCTGATTGTCTGTGACGTGAGTGTGAGTTAAAGTGTAGAGATTGAGGAAGATATAGAACTGAGAAAAGCTAGCTTTTGGATGGGTATTCCACCTGCAAGTAAAGTCACTGAGAATAAAGGTAGCACTTGAAGGGAGAGATAACAAGGGAGTTTGGAGGGTCATATCTTTAGTGACTGATAGTTCGACCAGAAGTTTATAAATGACAGTAGGAAGCGGATGTTATGTTGTTGTTAAGTGCCTTTGAGTTGGTTCCGACCCATAGTGATCCTGTGTAGGGTTTCTGAGGAGCAGAGGGTGAGCTTGAACCACCAACCTTGCAGTTCAAATGGCTTTGCAGTCTGGCGCATTAACCCACAGCACAAGGTAATAAATACGTAAAGGTGGAGAAATATTGACCTGGAAACAACACTAGGTATTGAGGAGCTTACTTCCACCCTTGCGACTGTGAAGATCTTGTAGGAGGTGAGAGAGCAGCAGCTAAAAACTTGAGATCTGAGGAAGGTTACTTCTCATCAGAAAGCCACAGGTTGCAGCAGGATTGCTATGTAAAGAAATGTTGGAAAATCTCAAAATGGTATGCTGAGGAGGGTAATTTGTGATTTAAATATATCATTCTTGGACGTAAGAATGTTGATGATGTTAATTATTAGATGTTAAGAAATCTCAATTACTAAATACTGCTTTATCACAAGTGTCCTTATGATAGCAGACAGAAATAATTAGAATATGTAGGGCCCCAGAGGGGAGTGTGGTGGCTCTATACGGTAAGCAGTGGACTATGAACCACAAGGTCTGTGGTTTGAGCCCACCAGCGGCTTCATGGGGGAAAGATGAGGCTTCCTGCTCCTGCAAAGATTTGAAGCCTTGAAAATCCTATACAGGTTTGTCATTAGTCAGAACCAACTCCACAGAACTTAACAACATCAAGGGCCGGAGGGAGAATTGCCCTCTTCCATTCTGCTGAAGAGAAATGCTGATCCTTAGGGGTTAAGTGACTTGTTGGAGGCCACACACCTAGAGGCAGAGCCAGGAGAGGAACCTGAAGCACCTGGCAGAGACTGGCTTCCATACCTTTCAGTATCACTGGCGACTATATTGTTATTTTAAGGAAATGGGTTTCTTTTTAAGTCTTTAAATTGGTGTATGCATTTTATTTTTATTTTCTTTATTTATGTGACTGCGTTAATCTTTTTCAAAAGTTCATGTTGCACTTTTCCTGATTATCTCCCAGTTCAAATATCTGCTTGTACAGTACTGGCTAAATTATTGAACAGCCTCTCAGTAGTGCAATAAACACATTTCATTGTGTAATGTGAGAAGTAGAATCTGGAGATAAGGGAACTGTTTTCACATTATAGCCCAGAACCAGTACCACACAGTTTTTAAATTAGGATAAAACAGCATTGCTTTTCAGTGTCCTTCATTAAGGTGTGAAACTAGCCTTTTTAGTCTAGACTTCTAGATTAAAGATTAGGAAAGCTGTTACCCTATTCTTTTTCCAGTTTGACTCTGACCTGTGACCCAGGATGTGTATGGGATGGTTTTTCAAAGCTCTTATATTTTTTTTATTCTAATTATGTAACTGAGCATGTGAAGGAGAAACTAGCTAAGCAGTCTCCCTTTGAGGTAGTAAGGAAAACAATTATTCTTGAATTATAGAAGTTGGCTTTTTTTTCCCCCTTGCAGAAGTATGTGACAGATTACCTGAGTTATTTTGCTGGAGAATTAAACAATATTTTCAAAATAATGCTTAACACATTAGGGTTAGGTTAAGTGTGATTTCCTGACTCTGAAGAGGGACATCTGAGTATTAATTTAGTATTAGCATGGGATATGTGTATGTAAAAGGAGCTCTGGTAGCGTAGTGGTTATGAGTAGTGGTTACAAATCAGGCTGTGAACTGCAAGGTCAGCAGTTAGAAACTACCAGCTCTCCGCGGGGGAAAGAGGAGGCTTTCTGCTCCCGTAAAGATTTATAGCCTCGGAAACCCTGTTCACGGTCACTATGGGTCGGAACCAACTCGATGGCACTTAACAACAGCAACAACAATGTGCATGTAAATATTGATTCAAAAGAAACTTTAAAATTTCTTTGGAGGTAACTAACTTTTCTAATTTCTGGGTATTACAAGATTAATATATTTTAAAAAGTTTCTGTTGCTAGTGTTGGTTTCTTATGCAGGCAGTCCCTAGATTATGAACAAGTTCCATTTCTAATATCTTTAAGTCTAATTTGTGTGCAGGTTGGAACAGTGAGGTATGGTTTGTATCTAGGGTCAGTTAGTCAGATGCTTATCTTAGTATATAATGTACCTGTTGTTGGATCCGCACTGCACTGTGACTCACAAGGTTGACTGTTCCAACTGACCATCTGCTCCTTGGAAACCTTGTACAGGGTCACTATGTGTGAATGGCACTTAGCAATAACAACAGAATGGATAAAACGCTTTAAAGAAATACTTCCAGACACTGGAAAACACCTTTAACATAATAATATAATAATAGTGTCTTGATGCACTTGCAAAGTGCACCCACTTGCTATGCTATTATGAACCATTGTACTTCAGATTTTTAACATATTTTATGGGGGTTGGTTTTTAACTACAGGTGGTATGTAAATTAGATGGGGGCGTTGTCTATAATGTGTTTGTTTAGAATATTATCCTTTTGAGGAGCTCTGGTAGAGTTGTAAATCAGGCTGATAACCTCAAGGTCATCAGTTCAAAATTACCAGCTGTTACAAAATAACCAACCACCATTTGATTTCATGGTAACAAGTACTAGAAAGACTTCATTTATTTAAGCCAAATTTTCAATTTTCTTAATTTGTGAAAGTACTAACCACAAAACCAACCATGTAGTTTGCTTGTGTTTGGCTAAAAGTAACTTTTTATGCCAAAATATGTGGGGTTTAGTGCCAGTTAATGTATCATGGTGATGCTGGTTGTGTGCCGTGGAGTCAGTTCCAACTCATAGAGACCCTGTACTGGGTTTCCCAGGCTGTAAATCTTTAAGTGAGCAGAAAGCCTCATCTTTCTTCTGTGGAACAGCTAGTGGTTTCGAACTGCTGACCTTGAGGCTAGCAGCCCGATTCGTAACCACTGCACTACCAGATCTCCTTTCAAATATTACTTGTTTATTTTCAGTTTCTTCCGCCCCCTATAAGGATAGACTGATTTGATTTTACTTCTTTTCTGTTGAAATAAAAAATGTTGTGGAGAACATACAAAGCAAAGCATACACCAGTTCCAACAGGTTCTAGACAATTCAGCCCCACCCTTTTTTCTTGAGTCGCTCTTCATTAACATTATTTTCTTTCTTTTGATGAAGCCATGCCTGACTGTGCAGCTGAGTAGTTAAGTAGAAAAGTAGGACAGGAACAACTGTAAGTGAATTGTCTTAGTTATCTAGTGCTGTGACAACAGAAATGCCACAAGTGGGTGGCCTTAGCAAGTACGTTCATTTTCTCACAGGTTAGGAGGCTACAAGCCCAAATTCAGGATGCTGACTCTTGAGCTAGGCTTTCTCTTTGTATAGACTCTGGAGGAAAGTCTGTGCCTCTTCTCCCATCTCTGCTAGTTTTTTCTCTTAAAAGAGATCTACTCAACACAACCCAGCATGAATTCTGCCGCATTAGCATAACAAAGATCATACACCTAAATGGTTTTTTAATCACAGACTTAGAGGATAGGATTTGTAACACGTATTTTTTTGGAGGGGGAGTGGGAAGGACACAATTCAGTCCATAACACCCATAGTCAGAAGTGCATCGGTCTCCCCTTTGGTATCTGGATCATACAGCTCCTATTGAAGAGTTAGCTTGTGATACTTGATGGCATTAGATACTTATTCTAAGCAAGTCATTTTCCAAGACAGATGGATTTGTGAAACCTTATAACTTGTTGTTAGAAAATATGCTGTATACTTTCGAGTAAAATATCAAATAGTAGTAGCAACAGAACTCAGCAATCAACTCATACAATAACTGTCAACCATAACGTATACTTTCTGCATTTTGTGTTTAGTGAGTGGACCAAGGCCTCAGGATCCAAGTTTAAAAAGAAACGGTGTAAAAGCTCCTGGTGAACATCGGAGAAAGGAGAATGGCGTAAGTGATTGTTTTCGTCCATTTTATATGTACTGGGAAATAGACCACAATTTGGGAACAAAATAAATGTTGAACAGGCTTAAGAAGTATTCATTTTTTATGTTTGATTTCAGTATCTTAGAAAAGGAGAGACACATACAATAGTAATGTTGTAAGTACTACTGCATATGAATGTCAGCAAATATTTGTGTTATACCTTACAGACATTTCCTTTCAGAATTCAGAAATGTAATACTCCTAGGAGTCCTGATACGGTGCCTTGATAAAAGGATGATATAAATGAGCTGAGACATTAAATAGATTTGATCGATAAAATAATAACTAACTAAATAAAAACCCCTTCACTAGAGTTTATGTTTCTTGCAAAAACAAAGCAGCATATAACTGACACATTTAAAGTATATAATTGGTAGACTTTGACATCTGTAAGGAGCCCTGGGGAGCGCTGTGCTGGTAGGAAAAACGCTGACTGCTAACTAGAAGGTCTGTTGCTCAAGCCCACTAGCTGCTCTTCAGGAGAAAGAAGAGACTTCCTGTTCTCCCAAAGATTTACCACCTCGGAAACCCTATACAGGGTCTCCATGAGTCAGAAACGACTGGAAGACACTTAACAATAGCAACAACTGGAAGCGCTATAGGGTAAGCACTGAACTGCTGCTAACCACAAGGTTGGCAGTTCAGTCCATCAACTCTCTGGGAGAGAAAATGGTGGCTTTCTGCTCCATCAAGATTTACCTCCTCAGAAACCTCTCCACTGGGTCGCTGTGAGTCAGAATGCACTCAGTGGCACTGGGTTTCACTTGTATACAGGAGGGGTTTTCAGAGGTTTGTGGCAAGTATTATGAAAAAACTATACATGGATTTCAGATTTTTTGGTACTAAAATAACCTCATACTAACTTGCTATAGGAGTCCTTGTGTGATGCCATAGAATAAGCACTGGACTGCTAACCACGAGGTCAGTGGCTCAAACCCACTAGCCACTCCTCGGAAACCGTATATAGTGTCACTATGAGTCACAACAGACTTGGCAGCACTTAACAACAACTTGCCATAATGTGTATGAACAGGATCTGTTTTAACGCACTAAGAAGAATGAGACATCAGTTTGAAAAGATGGCTAAACTTCGTCTCTCAT